CTCAGCTGCCGCTGATTCTGAGGTTGGGATAACCAATAGTGGGCTATCGTCTGAGATGGGAATTGTTGGCGAAAGACCTTCTGATGACATTTCTACACCGCCTTTTGATCTTGTGAAGTATTGGTGTGAAGCCAGGTTACCACAAACCAACCACCTTAAAACAGAACCTGTACTCAACAATAGATAACAAACCGGTTAGTTTGAAGCAATTAACACATAGGAAATCACACGTTGGGGGTGTGATGCACCTATGCAGTTAAAAGTGTTTCTACATGTTTTACAACGATTGCATGTCTCATCCCGGCTTTTGTTCATCTCCCTGATTTTCTCCCTTGCCCTCTTTTGCGCTTTTATTTTCTCTCTTATTTTTATTCTATTTTCCTTTTTTTTCTTGGTCTTTCTTTTGGTTTCTCTATTCCACTTTCCTCTTTTTATTTGAGTTATTACAAACGATCATGACCGGATCCGATGAGGATTGTCTACGTATCACGACACCGCATGAATCAGATCATCACGTAGTTCAAGGAATAAATGCAACATAAATAAAAACATTTTTGATTTTTCAAACTTTTTTCATTAAAACAGGATTTCTAATTTTCTCTATTAAAAAGACTCGACCCTACATACTTGCGAATTAAAAACATAAAACAGACTCAAAACCAACTTTAGGGAATGAAAATACAAACTCGAAAAAGAAAACACAATTAGGAGTACATCAGTGCCTCCAATCTTGTCCTAGGAACACCAACTGCTCTTGCTGCAGGCCTACGCGCCATGTCATCCTGGAGGCGATCGAGATCCTCCATTATCCGACGGACAAAGATCATCATTGTGGCGAAGAACATGGACCTGTTCATGTCCTTGCACACGTTGCATTTCATCATAATGTAGTCGGCGATTCTTCTAACCCTTTCCCTGATGATGCACTTTTCTTGCAACAAATGCCCAATCTGCTGAGATCTAGCCTCCAAGACCAGAGTGGCAGTATGATTATGTTCTTGCAAATGCTGTAGGTCTCCCTCTAGTTGTGCCATCATGCGTAGCAATGTTCTCTCTCGGCTTTAAAGCTCTTGGCTTGCTTGGCCATCTCATTCTCGAGGGTGGTTATCTTTTTCTTGAAGTTTGTGACTTTTCCATCGTATTTCCATTTTAGTTGTTGAACAAACTCTGCCCTCCCCTTTACGTTCTTTGCCAGCTGTGCTCTAGCTCTTGCTAGACTGCCTTCGGATTTTTCTAAACCATTCTTGTACTCACATATTTTATTCCTAAGGCCATTAATGAGTTTTTCAACTGCTCGGCTTCTTTCTGGATTCTTGGTAGCTATCTTCATCCTTTGGATCTGGGCCCGGAGGATTTTATTTTTTTGGCTAATTTTTTCTTCTCGCCCTCATCTGCAACGATTTGCACATCACTATCAAACTTGAGGTCTCTGATCTGTCCTTCTAACCTGCTTATGGTGGCCCGATATTCATTTTCTTTTGTCAACCACTCCCACTGTTCTTGTGATGCTTCGACAAACTCTTGGAGGTGAGGTCTTTTAGCTGGCCTTCCAAACTCAATTTTCCTTTTGTACCAGGCAAGGTAACCGAGTGAGACTTCACCTCTGGATAGATCACGCACTCGGGTATTTGCTATCAAATATTGGCACTCACTCCAAATTTGGTGAACCACTGTTTCGTGAAACTGGCCATAAGAACGGATCTCGACCACATGAAGGCTAAGGTCTTCATCCTTGGGAACTATTTGACATTTCCCTAGCTGTCTCAATACCCGGTATGGGGCATAAGGCTGGATGCTTTTGAGACCCGTCAGGAGGAAGTGAGGACCAGTAGCTGACATGTATATGATTTCATCAACAGGAAGCCAATCGAACGTCCACTCTATTTGATTCGCAGTGACAGAGTGGAGGCAAGATATCTATTCTGCAACACCTTCTGGCATGGTAAACCCGTCGACCCTTGTATAAAACTCCCCTATGCAGCTTTTCCCTGTCGACCCATAGTTCATGTATTGAGGACGATGACATAGATGCTCAATCATCCACATTTGTAGCAACAAGTTGCACCTTTCAAAAAAGTCTCCTCCGGCTTTACAAGCTGTGAGAGCTCGAAAGATTTCAGACAGTATCATGGGTGCGAGGGTGCTTTTGGCCTGAGTAAGCAAAGTTTTGATGACCCCAGCTATCCATACATCGATATTCCCATCTTTCCTGGGAAACACTAGAAGACCCAAAAAATACCACCATGAAAGCAAAGCACCTGTGTTCTTCCCATTTTAGTTTGATTCCCTTTGCTGCAAATTCTACTTTCTAGATTGTTGAAACCCCCTATGTGTCCGTATCGCTGGTATATGAACTTGGAGTGGAAAAATCAACTGCCAAATCTGGGTATTGGACCCCCTTGCTTATCTTTAGTAAATCTAGAAACTTGTGTGGAGTCACAGCTCTTGGAGCGACCAAATACTTATGTCTCAGAGTTTCAGTGCTTCCAATATGCCTAGCTATCTCTTCCAAAGTGGGTGTGAGTTCAAAATCCGAGAAATGGAACACATTGTGAGCTAGATCCCAAAACGTAACCATTGCCTTTATTATGTCTCCTCTAGGCCTAATCTTCAATAACCCAATGAGGGCCCCCAAGTAAAGATTGACCATATCTTGTCCTGATTTGTCTAGATCTTCCCACCACATATACAGTTCCAAAGGAATCTTGGTCATGACCGTCATTGGCAAGTTTTGACTCGTGCTCATTCTACACATTTAACTTAAGGTGATTGGTTAAAGAACAAAGCGAGTTTTTCAAAAGAGGTCAATTTTACTAACATTTAAATAACATGGCTACTTTTGCAAATATGGCTCTTCATTACTTTGAAAAGGAAAATTTTAGGGTTGTGCTTGCTAGGTAGCCCAAAAAATTGAAAAAGTGCAGTAAGTGGTTATTCTTGTAAAACCAGCCTTCCAGCGTCCTTTTGGGGACATTTTGGGCTAATTAGACAAGAATGATATTACCTAATTTTATTTAAGACAGAATAACAATATTTCACCTTTTTGGGTTATTTTTATAAAAATGGAGTTGGACCCGGTGAGGGTTGCTTACGTATCCCACATCCGATGAGAATCAAATTTGCGTAGTTCGGTCAGTTTTGACATACTGAAATAGAGAAAAGACATGAAACTTTTGAAACCAAATTCCTTTTTTATAGAAAAAATTTCGGCAGAGTTTCGGCATATTTTGGACACCAGTTTTTTTTATCAATGGGGGATAATTATCTCTCTCATACCTCAATTTTATTTTTCCCAATTTATTCCCTATTCCAGTAACCGGTCAACATGCAAACTGAAGCAAATAATTGCANCAGGAACCAAAAGGCCATCCGGCTTTGTAACTTGTCTGAGCCTCTTTCTTATTTAAAGGTATGACACTAACAGAAAGAGGAGTCACGCCAGCGTGCACATCCCTGAAGATGAGAAGAGAAGAGTTTCGTAATAGTATAAATGCAATTCAAATAATATCAAAACGGTAAAGAGCGGCATTTAGCACATTAGGCTCAAATATGTAAAAATCAGACAATGAATAAAGCCAAAATATAACAGTTATTCTAAGATCGAATTCTTGAACCCTGAATCGGAAGTTCTAAGTTCTTTTCTCCAGCAGAGTCGCCAGAGCTATCACACCTCCTTTTAAACCACTCGAGGGGGGGATATACCTGAGTTTTTTCCAATTAAAGTGACATTATTCAAATGGGATTATTTTATTTATTTTATCATAGTCGCCACTTGGGATAATTTATTGTGTCCCAAGTCACTGGTTTATTTTGAAATCCTAAATTGAGGAAATTTGACTTTTATTTTTTAAAGTCTGTGAACCAAAAATTCTAGATAAGGAATTCTGTTAACTCGGGAGAAAGTGTTAGTCATTCCAAGGTTCCGTAGTTCTAGCACGGTCACTTAAACTATTAATAATTGCCCTATTATCCAATTTATTACATGTTTCAACCTATTGTGCATTTTTACCTTATAACCGCTTTTATTTATTTATTGTTACATATTGTGAATCATGTTATGAGAACTGTACCCACGATCTACAATATATTTAACTTTTAAAGATTAAATTGTGGCCGGGTCACATAAATGTACCCCGAATTTTAGTAATTAAGCATCACAACTATGCACGGGAACCGTACCCGTATCTATAAAAATTATTTAATTAACGCGCCTAAAGCAAACTACGAAAGTTCAAGGCATTTCTAAACTAATTTTGTATTTGTATGAGGGCCATAAATTAAAGGAATTTATTTGTATATGGCACACCCCTAATTATTTGTTCTAAATTTGTGAGGGCCATGTGTTATAGATTCAAAGCATGGCACACCGCAAGTTAAAAAAAAGTTTATATATATTTTAAAGGCAAACTAAAACTACTCTTATTTTAAACTAATTTAAAACTAATTATCACAAATACGTCACGGGAGCCGCACCCATAGTTGTAATAATTCTAAATGCACGGCTAAAGCAGACTACAGGTATTTTAAAGAATCAATTACTTCTAAGTTTATATTAACTAACAAGAGGGCCATGGGTAATTTTAACGAAAATGGCACGCCTCCAACCATTTTTAAAAAGGATTAAACTTGATTAAGCTTAGGTTATTCCCATCCAAATTTGGGCCTGAAACTATAGACACAGGGATCGGGCCAAAGGCGAGCCCAGCATATTATTTGCATGCCTCTTCCATTCTAAAAAAAAAGAGGGACACCATCATTCATTGAGCCTAAATTTAAGCCCAGAATCAGATCCTGCAATTGAGCCCAAACACATGCCCAAACAAAATAAAATGCTGAGGCTAAAGAGAACCTATTGTTCTGGGCTAAAATGAGGCCAACATGCAGCCAGCCCATATACTTCAATTTACCCCTATTTGAATTGATCTATTAATGGAATCCATCCCATGAAACCAATGTAACCTTATGAAAGAGATGAGCCCAAAAATGAAAGAAACTAGAAATTCGATTAAGGAAATCCATTAATTTTCCTTCAATAAATTCTGCACAGCTTGACATAATAAGATACAGACTGAGAAAAGAGCAAACACTGTTGTCATTCACATTAAAAGATTATCAAAGAATAAGGATTCACTTCCAAATCTCTAAAAAAATGACATCTACATATGAAAGGTGCTATGCAACTAATGTGATACACAACAAGGCTCATGAACCATTCTTGGCTATTAGCTTTGTCATTGCTTGAAATCAATCTTGTCTTTAACATTATATGCATCACATTTCAGTGCTTGAAATCAATCTTGCCTTTAACATTATATGCAGCACATTTCAGGGCTTGAAATCAATCTTGTCTTTAACATTATATGCATCACGTTCTATGTCCTTAACTTTCAATCAATACATTCACTGGCTTCATGCTCCTTTAACTACCCTCTCCAACAAATTTTAACCCAAGAGAAAGCAAGATGTTGTTCATCAGAAGTGCATGATGCTGACAACCAAAACCTTTAAATCCCAATTTATCAAACTATCATTTTATTATAAGAACAATAAACCAAACAGGTTGACCAAACTTGACAGAAAGAGACTGAATATGAGAGAAAACTTCATCAGTAATAGTAGAGTCTTGAACGAGGATAAGAACATTATAAAGCCACCCAACATTCTCCATCAAAGTGACCAATAAGTTTAGTTTCTAAACATACAACAAAACTGCTACCACATCTTGATAGGTTTGTTGCCAATAGTCATTAAACTAGTAGTGTGTGTTTTGTGACTTCAACTTTCAATCCTTAAATAATTTCAGAACTCACAAAGGAAGTTACAAGCGGTATTCAAAATCATGCTTAACCAAACTGATTCGAAAAGTGATTTAAATTTAAAGACCTACTTCAACAAACAAACTAACAAGAAATTAGGATATGAAAGAGTATAGGGAAATCTCATGTTATCTCTTTGAAATTAGTTATAAACACAACATACAAATCGACACTAGTGGTCATTCTCTTAATCAGTGCAGAACATGTAACCTCACAAAATTGTTTCTTTTTTTTTATAGAACATGAATCATTCAAATCAAGTCACATGATTCAAAATCGAGAAAAATACCTTGATATAGAAAACGAAATACAGAGGGAAAATGATAACAAGAAGAATGATTCAGGAGCTCAGCAATACAGCAGCAAAGATCAATAGAACTCGAACACGAATCCAAAGCTTTGAGGATTAGGAATTTCACTACCAAACTCCGGAAATTGTCTCTGATTTTTCTTCGATTTTTCTCCGAAAATGAACTAAAAAGATTGAATCAAAATCGAACTTAAACCATTTTGTTGTTTTTGTTTCTTTTATCTTTCTAAAAAAAGAAGCAGGCTAAAGAAAAATGGCTTGAAGAAAATGACCACTTCAAACCCTAGAAACTCGACTCAATTTTTCTGAAGATATTTCCCAATATTTTCTCTAACCTAGCACACAGACTTACCTCGAATATATATAGCCTTCAAAATCTTAAAAAATCTGCCCTAAAATCCGAAATATGTTCAGGTCTTTGAACAATTTTTGGGACAAATGGAGGGCGTGGATTTTTTTACATCTATCCATGGCTCCCATTCATCGAATAAATTGTTCCTATAGTACAGAAATCATGCGATTTGAGGGAATATTCGAATTCTTTCTGACAAAAAAACGTTGGGAATCAAATGACATGGAGGGGAGGGGACCATTTGAGTGAACTCGGGCGAGTTGAGGTTGAATTGGGGATTGAATCAGTGAAGGAGATGGTGAACAGTGAGGGTGCGATGCTTCATCAGTTAGGTCTAGGGTTCATGATTTTGGGTAAAAATTATCAGATGGTTTATATATTAGGGCGACGGGCGGGTCGGTTTATTTGTTGGGTTTGGATCTGGTTTTAAGGCTGGGGCTATAGAGAAGGAAGTGTTTGGGCTGAAGGGAATTAATTATGCAGGGGGAAACATTTGGGCTGGATTGAGGTGCATGGGGCTGGCCCAATTCCGAAAAAGGAGATTCTTCTTCAATTTTCTTTTATTTTCTAAATTCCTTTTCTTTTATTTTTTTAATTAAAAAATCTAATAATTAAAAAAATCCTAAATTATCTAAAAATGTGAAATTAAACTAATTATAAAAAAACATAAACATCACTTAATTCTAAATCAAAAGAGGAAAATCAATAAACTAAAATTAAAAGACAAAAAATGTAAAAATGAGCTATTTTGTGATTTTCAAATTTTTATAAAGCAAATAATTATTGATTAATTCTAAAAATATAAAAACAAACCTTAAATGCAATGCACGACATTTTTTTGATATTTTTCATGATTTAAATAAAAATTAAACATGCAAAAAAATGCAAACAATTAATAAAAATCTACAAAAATTCCTAAAAATGGCAAATAATTAAGAAAAAAAATCTATTTTCTTGGATTTTATAGGAGTATTTTATATAGGGCAAAAATCACATGCTCACATCCCCAATACATGTTTAAATACTGCAAACATTTCAAAACCCTTACTGACTTGTTTACCTTTTATTTTTCTTTATTCTTTATTCCCATCCTCTAAGGTTGGTTCGCACATATTGGCATCATCAGCATATCACACCAGATCTAGAGGCCCTCCGATTCTCCTCCTCCAAGTAATACGAGAAGCAAAGGGAAGGCTAAAATGGACGACTTAAGTGGTATTCGAAAGGAAAGTGCTGAGAATGTGGAAACTTCAGACGGTCGGAGTACTCCGGTGCCAAATGATTTAGTTTTGAGGTTGGAACAAAAGATACTGGAGCTACAGGGAGAGCTTGAGCAGGTCTGCAACTTGGCAAACCTATCCCTCACCCTGAATGTCCCCGATATCAACCAACAAAACACCAAAAACCCAGCGCCTCCCCAAAACACACCAAGCGAGCATCCATAAAACCCTCCCGCACAGCATCAATATGCTACTCCACCTCAAAATCTCAATCCCTTACCGATTCCAACTCCGCCACAACACCATCATCAACCAATCCAGTACCCACCAACCCCCACTTATCACACTCCCCAGAATACACCACAACCCATTCCCGATCCTCAAAAGTCAACCAATGACCACCATTACACCTAGGTTCCTAGCACTCACAAAAACAATCCTATATATGTGGAGACCGTACCTCACTCTACTCATACAACCTCCTATACACCAGAATCCGCTGAGAAGGACCTGCTCATCAAGATTATGGCTGAGGAACTCAAGAAATTGACAAGTCGGGTTCAGGGCGTCTAAGGAGGCAAATGGATAGAGGGTTTGAATTATGAATACCTATGCATACAACCGGATGTAGAACTGCCAAAGGGTTACAAACCTCCCAAGTTCGAGATGTTTAATAGTACAGGTGATCCTAGGGTTCATCTACGAACCTATTGTGACAAACTTGTTGGGGTAGAAAAGGATGAAAAGATCCGGATGAAGCTTTTCATGAGGAGTCTTATGGGAGACGCTTTGTCCAGGTATATCAGCCAGGATCCTAAGAAATGGTCCAACTGGGTGCGTATGGCATTTGATTTCATGGACCGATTCAGGTTCCACATAGAAAATGCACCAGATATTTTCTACATTCAAAACCTCAAGAAGAAGCCCGCCGACACTTTCCGTGAGTATGCTACTCGTTGGAGGTTAGAAGCGGCCAAAGTCAGCCATCTTTGGACGGGAACAAATGAATAAATTCTTCGTCAGAGCACAAGATCCACAATACTATGAAAGGTTGATGGTTATTGAAAACCATAAGTTCTCTGATATCATCAAACCTAGTGAAAGGATCGCAGAAGGCATCAAAAGCAGGATGGTGACAAACTTTAAGGCACTACAGGCCACAAACAAAGCATTACAATCTAGCACATATCGAAAAAGAAAGACGTCGGGGCAGTAATGGTGGCTCAAGGCCCAAAATCTCCACTCACATACCAAGCACCTCAACCTACATACCAAACACCCCTACCCACATGCCAAACACCTCCACCTACATATCAACCCTCATCTCCCAGATATCCCTAACCAACCACTGTCTATCACACTTATAATTCCCAACCATCTCATTTCCAGTCACCTCAAACTCGCCAAAATTATCCAAGACCATGACCCAATTTTGACCGTAAACCACCCAGACAATACACCGTTATTGTTGAACCCATCGACCAACTGTATGAAAGGTTGAAGGCCACTGGTTATGTCACTCTTATTCTCACTGTGGTAGTAGAGAACCCATCCTAATGGGTTAACCCAAACAAAACTTGTGCATACCATTCTGGTATGAAGGGACATACTATTGACGAATGCCGAACATTGAAAGATAAAATCCAGACAGAGATTGACAACAAGGTCATACACGCAAAAAAAGTTGCACCCAATGTTTGCAACAATCCTCTCCCGGATTATGGGGGTGGTGGGATACATGTGATAGAGATGGATGAAGAATAGGATCCTGGGGGTCAATCGGGCTTATTCGAGAAGGTTACGACTTCAAACCTACAGTCACACTTACTTCTATTGTAGTACAGATTTAGTCACCAGTCGAGGTTGAGGCAGCTGCATCGGTTCCATTTGAGATAGAAGTAGGTCCACCTTCGGCCACCCCTGTTCCATTTAAAGTAGAAGTGGCCACACCTTTCGCAGTGGCAATATAAATCATACCTCTTTTGGATTCACAAGAAATACTCAGGGATTACATTGCCGAAACTAGGCGAAAAGGAAAGGAAAAGATGGAGGAATCTGATGCTGCGCAAGGAATGACTAGGACTGGAAGAATCTATACACCTGAACACTTGGGAGGACCAAGTAAGTATGCCACTACCAAGCAACCTATCATTTAAATAGGACCAGATGACGTTTGGAGGAAGGTGCAAGCGTCATTGATCATTTGAACAAACCCCCATCTCAAATATCCATCCTATCACTGTTGCAAAATTCAGAGGCGCACAAGAGTAATTTGATGAAGGTGTTGAGTGAAGCTTATGTACCCAACAATATCACCTGCGGAGAGATGGCCAACATGGTAGGGCAGGTGCTGGAAAGTCATAAGATAATCTTCCACAAGGATGAACTACCGCTTGAAGGGTTGAATCATAAATGAGCATTACATATCATGGTACAATTTGAAGACAAATTCATTGTCAGAGTTCTGATCGATGGAGGTTCAAGCCTCAACATTTGTCCGCTGGACAATCTGAAAAGATTAGGCAAAGGTTTCCATGAAATACAGGCAGGAAGCATGAACATGAAAGCCTTTGATGGGTCTCAAAGGGCCACAATTGGGGAGATTAATCTTTGTCTGTAGGTGGGGCCAACTTGGTTTGACGTTGAATTCCAGGTGCCTGACATATAAGCCTCATACAATCATCTACTGGGCCGACCATGGATACATGTTGCTAGGGCTTTGGCTTCCATACTGCACCAGGCCATAAAGTTCGAATGGAATCATCAAGAGGTGATCATTCACGGGGATGGGAGTAACCCCATTTACACCAGTCAAACCATCCCGGTTATCGGGAATAGAAGAAGTCTAGGAGGGGGAACCAATTATCACATCGAATGTGTCAATGCCGTTGAGAAAGACAAATGGTGCAGTAACAAAATAGAAAGCGTACAAGCATGGTCTGGGTATGAACCCGACAAAGGGCTTGGGAAGAATTTCCAAGGCATCACCAAACCAATACAACTGAAATGTCATGTTACTACCTTCGGGCTCAGATACCATTATACATGTCAAGAGTATGATGATTGGTCGCCTCCATGGCGTGGACCTTATTACCATCTCGAGCAACCAGTGCCACATCTGGGTTAGACTTTCCACCAAGCTGATACAATATGGGTAACTATAGAAGAAGAAGCGTTAGCTGGCTGAGGAATATGTTCCTAGAGGACGAAGACATGGAATGCAGTGCGATAATTGTAGAGGAGGAGTAAGGAGGAATCACTATTTAGACTGTGGAGAAGGGAGGTATTCTCAGGAACTGGACTGCCACACTATCCCGGGGCCGTCGAGTCCATGGGTAGCTTTGCAATCAACTTAATTTTATTTCTATAGCCATGCTAGGCATCTAAGATTTTCAGTAATTTTATTTTTAAAGACTTACTTGTTTCAAACAAATGTTCGATTAATCGAGCTGTACTTGTTTTGGATGTTTTCAGTTCTAATCAATGCATTGCTATTTATCATTCATTATTACCTTTCACACTTTTCTTTCTACAATGTTGTTATTACTTTTCCTTATGAACCGGTGACGGTGACATGTAATGAGGCAACGCAATATAAGGATAGTGACTCAGATGAAGAAGATGAAATACCATAGGAGATTGTTAGGGGTGTTGATAAATTTGAGAATATGCCTAAGTCCAACCTGGAAGAAATCGAAGCAGCAAATTTGGGAGAAGCCGAAACCGTCAAGGAGACTCATATCGGCATTCACTTATCATCGACATAGAAGGAAGAGTACATTTGCTTCTTGAAGGAGTATGAAGATATCTTTGCATGTTCATATGATGACATGACCGGTTTGAGCACGTCCATAGTGGCTCACAACTTTCCTACCAATCCCATGTGTCCGCCAGTGAAGCAGAAACTCAGGAAATTCAAACAAGATTTGAGCTTAAAAATCAAGGAGGAAGTTACTAAAAAGATCAAATCCAAAGTCCTCAGAGTGGTTGAGTACCCAACCTGGTTAGCCTACATTATACCAGTTCCGAAGAATGATGGAAAAGTCAGAGTATGCGTTGACTATCGAGACTTAAATAGAGTGAGTCCCAAGGATGACTTTCCACTGCCAAATATACACA